TGGTGACATTATGTCAAACGGCGATTCTGTGACCGACTATCGGGTGCTATCCATCCAGAGTCATGTGGTATCCGGATATGTGGGCAATAAGAGTGTTGTCTTTCCACTACAAGTAATTCATATAAATATAAATATAATAATAATTTCAATGATTAAGCTCTCATTGAACGAATGGACAGGTATTGGGTCTGGACGTGGATGCCATCAATTCTGTGCAGTTCTCCACTCACACGGGTTATGAGCACTGGTCGGGACAGGTGTTGGACTCCAAAGATCTGAACGTATTGTTTGACAATTTAGCCAAAAATGATTTACACAAACGATACACACATATACTGACCGGTTATGCGGCGAAGGCATCCTTTTTAGAGACCATCGCTCAAGTGGTCGCTACTGTTAAGAGTGTCAATCCCGGGGCTATTTATCGTATGAATTGATCAAGATCATTGATCAGTCATTTTTAAATTTTATTTGTACTTTAAAATTATAAATCTTAGAGTTTATTATTAATGAATTCATATTTGTTGTCAATGATTTGGCACAATTAATACAGTATTTATATACCGGTATTTATTTTTGCATAATACAGATATTATCTCTGAACTCTGCTTTAATATGACTGCTATCATGTAAAACTGTACTGTATAGTATTATTAAAGCAGAATTCATTTATTAGTTTTGTTATAAAATTTATTTCTAACAGATATAAGCTAATCATAGCATATATTTTTACTTAAATTATGAAACCAAACCTTTATATTACCGGTAATTTAAAGTTTTAATTTTACTTCATTATAGTTTGTGATCCAGTAATGGGCGACAATGGACAATTTGTATGTTATGTCATATTCATAATTAATTATATTTTAATTTATAATTTTCATAAATGACTAAATTATGAAAGAGATACAGTATTAGTAAAAATGACTTGTATTGACAGTATGTGCCCAAAGAATTGCTTCCCATTTATCGCAACAAAATTATACCGATTGCAGACATTATTACTCCCAATCAGTTTGAAGCTGAGTTAGTATTTATTGTTATAATTAATAAATGAATTGTAATGTTAGTAATTTGTATGCAGATTATTAACGGGTATCAAAATAGAGACCGAATCGGATGCCATTAAAGCACTGGAAGCGCTCCATTGCATCGGTATTCCAACGGTTGTCATATCGAGCAGTAATTTAGCCGCAGATGACTCGCAAATGATGACAATAGCCAGCAGTCGAGTGAATGGACGGACACAAAGAGTTAAGATAACATTTGCTAAACTAAACGCCACATTCACCGGATCCGGCGACCTCTTTGCCGCACTCTTTATGGCGTGGTTTACAAAAAGCAATCAAGACTTGAAGATCACTTGCGAGAAGACTTTGTCCACTTTGTTAGCAGTACTCAACCGAACCTATGATTATGCTGTCAAACAGACCGGCGGTACAAAAGATGTTAAAAATATTGAATTGAGATTAATTCAAAGTCGTGCAGAACTTGCGAGAAGACTTTGTCCACTTTGTTAGCAGTACTCAACCGAACCTATGATTATGCTGTCAAACAGACCGGCGGTACAAAAGATGTTAAAAATATTGAATTGAGATTAATTCAAAGTCGTGCAGATCTTGAAAATCCAAAAATCTGTGTAAATGCAACAGATTTGTCCAATTAATGAACTCAATATTTAGTGATACATTAATTTACATATCTGATAATATTTAGTGATAGCAATATTGTTAAAATCGTAAAATTGTCAAAAGTGGAGTTATATGTAATTATTAACTCATTTTGTTAAATAGAAATCAATTGTGACTCTATTAGCCTTACAGTAACTAACGGTAAAATACATTGTTTACTAAGTTAATTGTGCCTAATATTATATATTAAACGTCTTCCGATTGAAAATTTAAGTAAAATTTGACACAAAATATATAAACATTAAAATTAAAGTTTATGCAATTATTTTTTAAATAGCTTATATTGATATAATTTTAATAATCGAGGTCTTAAATGTGAATAATTTGATAATTAATTTTATTACTGTTTTAGAAGATTATTTATATTCAATTTGTATGATTTGTATGTTTTAATAAACAAAACACATTCTACAGTATAGACATCTAATTAAATAAAGATATCATAATTGAATAACTGATATGATTGGTATGAATTATGGTATCAATTATTCAATTGTTTGTAAGGAAGTGAATAACTCATAAACTTTCTCTCATGAAACCCATAACAACATGATTTAAAAGTGCTTAACAATACAATAACTAATAAACTAAATGCTATAACCATATACAAAGTGGAATAAAAGATTTTTTGAAAGTAGACATTGCGGCAAAATTGAGATGAAGTCTTGAGCCATAGGGACCAAATGTCTTCCATCTGTTGAGTTGTCTCACAGCCGAAGGTGACACCTCTCCACTCCAGTTGACACACATCCAGACAACCAGTTTGTTGGATCAATTGGGTGTCGTATCGGTTAACGCCCGCACTTTCGGCCAGTATTCCTGTTATGAAAAGATCGTCGATATCTAACACATGACCAGAATATTCATCGAATGCACGAATCAATGGTCCGCTGATGTTGTTTGTCATGACATATGCGGGTCCGTTCATATAGGCTGGCAGTCGACGCTCCGGGTAATATCTGTGAGGGACGTACCACTTATGGACGACATTCCTCTGCGGACTGATCCTTCTTAAGACGTCTCCACTAATACCGGTCTTAAATTCATTCAACTTCTGTAATAAGTGGTCGATATTAACCATAACGTCGTCGTCTGTTTTGAGAATATATTGATTTTTGGGACAATTCTGATGAATCCATCGAAGAATTGAAATGCCTTTTAAAGTGAGGTTATAGTAATTGTCAACGAAAGCAAATTGTAATAAATCAGAATATTCTTCAGATTCTGCTCTCAATTCTTTATTAATAGTCTCATTAATATTCAAAGCGATCACAAAATGCACGCAAATGTTGTGTCTCTTCACTTCATGAACCCATGTCTTCCTCAGCACTTGTCGTCTCTCAAAATACTGACCACTCGACTGAGCGCTTGAGTGGATAAACACTGAGATGTTATTTGATGTGTTGTTGCAATTCGGGGATAATATCACAGATTTTGTTAACTCTATCTCATCCCTCGAGTGGACATACATTCGTTTGGGTTCTGTATTCCTATATTCTTGAATCTCTTCGAAGTAGTCATCATTAGTGTACCAGTTCAGTATTTGCAACTCAAATAACATATATATAAATATGGGGAAAGTAATCAGAAAAAATAGTATGAGTCGAAAACGGACCCTGGATAACATGATTACATTAATTCAATACTTTTAACTCATGACAAAATAAATATAACACTGTCTTAAAGTTACAAATATAATATAAAAGACTTCAAATGTTTGACTTGAATACATGATAACTTAAAAACAATTTGTCTTAAAGTATTACTCATCCATAGATACAAATGATTTGAAATGTAGCACAATAGTTTACAAACAATTATGCTGACAGTCATTCAGTCGCTACAGTTATATGTATAGAATTAATGAGAATTAAACCAATGATTGTTTTATTGAAAGGGCAGGGCTAGTACCGGTAGTTTAGTGACATTTCCAATCATATAAGCTGTTATTTTATAATACAAAATCTATATTACAGATATAATAGATACCTTGGTCTAGTATGATTTTAGTTCTGTTGAATAGGTTTGCATACTGTCCACTTCATTAGTGATACTGTAATGTATTGACTCGAGAAGTAATGATTTATTAAACTTACATTTTCTTTACTTTAGCTCTAAATATAGAGAATTTATGTCAAAACAACATTGAAGTCATTAAAATTGTTTGCAATTCATGTCAAGAATCCAAACAATTACTAAATTCTACCAAAAATATTAATTATTAGTTAATATCAAAAAAAATATAGATTTCATTTTAATTAAAAATTTAATAAATTTATTATAAATTTTAATTAAAAATACAAATATATAAATAAAAATACTCATTACATAACTTGCAATGAATTGCACAATTGTTTTAATGAATACCAGACAATGAATTAGAAATTAATATACCGGTAATATCCTAAACCTAATCTTTGTTTAATTGTTCCCAAAAGTGATGGTCAGTCAAGAATGACATTCTTAAGGGCCAACACGTGTCTCAACTCATCTTCGAGGGCCTCATTAGTGCCGACCATTCCCGCGATCACCCGTTCAGACCACTTGAAGTACTCGTCAACCCTATCATCAGTCCATCCGATGGGTGTTTCCCTCAAGAGATCTCTTAAATTATACAATTTGTCCGAAAGTTTAACTAATTTGGCGCCGAAACTGATGTGCGGCGAGTGTTGCACCTGAAGGCGCTTCCTCTCAGCCTTCGCGAGTGTCTTATCGTCGGTCACTTCGGCCACAATTGCACTCACATTGGCTCCGAAGTGGGCAGTGATGTCTGAGATTGTGGTGTCCGTGTCTTCGACGGTGTCGTGAAGTACAGCCGCACACAACACGTCGATGTCTTGACAGTCGGCCAATTGGACCAAAGTATTCATGACTCCAATCGGATGATTAATATAAGGAGTTTTGCCATCTCTTCGCAACTGATTCCTGTGAGCGATGGCCGCGAAGTCGATGGCCTTCACGAGTTGTCTCAATTGGTTGCCATTCATTGTCATACAGTCTAACACTTCATACTTCATACACAAAACACAAATGCATTCAAAGACAATGCAATCAACAGATAATGTGTGCAAACAATGGTAACAATTGTTGTGGTGTACGATGGGATGGCAATACATGTGACATACCTTTCCATTTAAAGGGCTGTCAATACAGTACAGCATAAACAGTATAGCACTCCCTATCCATACCCCTAATCCCTATTACTTTGCATTCAATCATTACTTTTAAACACATTTTAATTAACAATTAATTTATAAATAGATTTATTTTCTTAGATATAATACAGTCATAGGTGTGAGGGTTGGGATGGGGTTGGGATGGGGTTAGGGTTGAGGTCATGGCTGCGGTGGAAGTGATTGTCGGGTCTTATAGGTGTACTCGAGAGCCGATGAGACAGTCCTCATGTCGTGTTCAATGGTTTGCGACCAGTTGTGGACGTCTCCCAACTCTTTGACGGTTTTGTTGAATGCATTCATTAATTGCAACCATTGATGGACTGATCGCGAGAATTGAG